TGGTGGCGGTGCTAGGGTGGTGGTGGTGGCGGTGGCGGTGGCGGTGGTACGGTGAAATAGGAAATAAATTTAATTGGTGGGTAAAATAGGAAATAGAAACTTTAGGCTATTTATGAAAACTTAGGAATAGCCTAATACCAGGGGTTCCCCTGGAATCTCTATTCCCCTTGCAAGGGGAATAGGTCATTCCCATACAAGTGGTTACCAAACAAAGGAATAGGTCTATTACTGGGAATACTATGTCATTTCAGACCTATATTCCGTGAACCAAACAGCTCATTAATGTTTCATTTCTTTGACTCTTTAATCATTGTAGTCTTACAAGACTATTTATACATAATGTGTATACCTAACACGTACAAGTGAACTATGCATGAATTGAAGATAGTGGAGTTGATGGTGAAGTAACCCTAGAAAATACTCCGTAATAATCCTTTATATAATAAAGCTATATGATTTGGGAAATAATTAATGTTACAATAAATGCCACAACATCCTTTATTATAAAAAAAAAAAAAAAAAAGCACAACATTTAAAAAATAAAATAGCTATATATTATATAATCATATAAAAATATATACTTTTGAAAAATAAAATAGCTATATATATTATATAATCATATAAAAAATGTGTTCAATTAGAGTTTAAATTTACACATACAAAATTTGAAATTTGCTTTCTAAATGTAATTATCTTAATTATTATTCGTATTGTGAAAATTATAATATAGATGAAATATAATTAAGAATAAATCAATGTAATTATGTAAATTCTCTCTATAAGTTTATTTAAATATGCACATAATTAGAGATTATATTAACCATACAAAATTATAATTTTAATTTTAATTTTAATTGTAATTTTGTATTTTATAAAAATAATAAATACTTGACCAATGGAAGCTCAAAAATATTATTATATTAAAAATTTAAAATATTTTAATTTTTATATTTTTTATTTATATTTATAATAACATATTTTTCCCGTGCATCGCGCGGGTGAATTACTAGTTTTACTTTATTTCGTTATTTACATTTTAAAAAAGACAAATGTCATTTCTTAATGTTGAATACTCACTCTCTTCCATTTTTTCTGTTATATTTATTATTTATTAGTTAAACAAGCTCTTTTTTCATTGTTTATTTTAGTAATTTTTAATTATTTTTAATTATTTTTTTTAGTGTGTGTGTTTAATAGTACTTTTAATGTAGTTTCTAAATATATAAAATTTATATACTAATACTAAACTTAATATTATTAAAAAATTGAATTAAAAATAAATTCAGTCAAACTTCGTTAACCAAACCAGACAAACAAAATGGGGCGAAGGGAGTATGATAGAATTTTCTTAAAATCTTATGAAGATATATAGTTGATCTTAAATTTTGTAATAATTTTACCTCAACCAAGTTGGTTAGGGCAATTGACATATTGACATTTTCGATTTGAACTAATTTATTGTAGACAACTTAGACTGATTTGTCTCCATATGATCCAATTGTTATTAGGTAACAAAGTGAACTTCACATATAACGTTTCTTCACTCAAAGTGCACCTTCAAGTAGCGATTTTTGGAATTCCAAGTTAAATGAGTTTTTTTTTTTTTTTTTTTTTTTTTTTTTTTTTTAGTTACATTCGGAGTATATTTTAGGGGAATTTATATTTTTTTTTTTCAGTATTTATGAATAATATGAAAATAAGAAACCCATGATTTGTTTGCAAGGCCCATAACACTGAAACAGACAATATCAAACAGATATCACCGAAGTAGGGCCCATCTTATCATCGCTGATGTGGCAAAGCATCTCGGCTGCCCGCCGTATATTCCCTTTTATCATAATATATATATATATATATATATATATATATATATATATATATATATATATATATATATATATATATATAGTTTTTAATTGTTATTTATTTTATATTCCTTTGGTAAGAGAATTTTAAGTTGTCTTGTATTCTTGTACCACTTCTTGCTTGTAAATTGATGGATTCATCATAAATTAATCATGTAAAAATTTTATGTGGTCTAATGGTACCCGGGTTGAACTTCTATTTAGAAGGCTATGAGTTTAATCCTCAGTAGAGGCGTTGTTCTTTGTGTTTCAGTAGGTTGAAAAAGTATATGAACAGATACTACAATGTAATAGAGCCAGTAACATTAAAAAAAAAATCATGTAAAAATTTTATATGGCAATAATTTTTTATTTTTTATTTATTATTTATTTGCTAATTGATATTACCACAACTTATTATACATGTAATTTGTTGTTGTTGATGATATAAAATTTGTCTTTTTAATTAATTCAGATTCATTGGATGTCCAAACGTTAAAAGTTTATCAAAAAAAAAAAGGAATAAGGGTCAAATAGGCCATCGAACTGCACACGATAATGCAATTAGGCCACTGAATCTAAAAAACCAACAATTAGGTCTCTAAACTAACCAATTTCAAACAATTCTTCCAATTTATAGGTTTCCAACAAGTTAACAGGTCATCATCCCAAATTAATTATTTTTTAAAAAATAAAATTTAAAAATTAATTATTTAAATAATTTTTAAAAAAAAAAACAGAATTCAGCCGATCTGTTTTTTATTTTTAATTTTAATAATTAATTTTTAAATTTTATTTTTTAAAAAATAATTAATTTGGAGGATGACCTGTTGACTTGTTGGAAACCTTCAAATTTGATGAATTGTTAGAAATTGATTTAGGGACTCAATTGTTGGTTTTTTGAGTTCAGTGGCCTAATTGTATTATCATGTGCAGTTCGATGACCTATTTGACCCTTATTCCAAAAAAAAAAAAATGATATTATTAGATTAATCCTGTTGTTAATTTTATATTGAACTTCACATTTTACCATATTTCTTTTTTATTTTCTATATGGTTAAAGGTATTTGTACTTGAATGTTTGTTAGATATTTTCTAAACCAAATCACCCACAAATGTTTTAGAAATGTGGTATAATTTATGATGTGATGCTTTGCTACTTATTTTTACATGGAGTATCTATTCTATACTTTCTCAAACATTTTCAGTCCAAAATATTTAAGTTCCTACCACCAACCGGGATGTCACACGGTATATGTTACTCCCTTTGTCTCATTTTATCTGTCATACTTACTATTCATTGGTCAAACCAACTCTTTATTCTTTATTTATTTTCTTTAGTATTTGATACTTATTTTTAAATTTGATTTGTGGGAGGAGGTTTAATAGTACTTTTAGTGTAGTTTATAAATATATAAATTTTTTATACTAATACTAAACTTAATATTATTAAAAATTGAATAAAAAATAACTTCAGTCGAGCCTCGCTAACCGAACCAAACACATAAATGAGAAGGAAGGAGTATTATTACTACAACCCTAATTTAATCTCTATATAGGCAATGAGGGATGTTAAACAGCAAATAATTTATTTGTCAGTGCACTATTATTAAGTACGGTAAGTCAAATAGTACCGAGTGCTAACCAAATGAACTTGTATAAAAAGACAATAACATGACATCCATTCATACAATATTAGAATGTATAAGATGGGATTTGAACTATAATAAATAATTTTGGAAAACTAACTCAATTATATTAAGATATTTTAACTTTCAAAAAAAAAAATATTAAGATATTTTAAGATTATAATTTTATTATTCAATTAGCTTATGTGTCACAATCACATTATAAATATATAAGACTAATGCGTTTTAAGGCCCACAAGGTTTCAAAGGGATTTGGTGGAAGAGATGACTAAATATAATTGTAATTTTGGATTTACATGCGTAATTCATTGTACTATGACACATATTATATTATTGAATAAAGAAGAAAAATAGATGTCACGCCATAATCCTCTACCTTCCATTGAATTAGTCTTCTTAGGGTTGCTGTTGCATTTCTAGTTTCTATACCTGTTTGCCGCTTCTAGATGACGCCTCGTGCAAAAAACACCATTATTTATTTTGCCCAAAAACAATGTTTATCCAAACCACTCAAATTACAAAATTACTCTTTAACATTTTTTTATTTTTTTTTGGATATGTACTCTTTAACATTTAAAACATTTATATTTAGAGCAAATTCTATTTTAACTCATCAATTATTTGTGACATTGTCATATTTATATTTACTCTTTTAATTTTATCATATCACATCCTTAACTTTTATTTATTTATCACAATTAATCCTCATATTAAATTTGTCATTCCACCATTTAATAAATATAACTAACATATAATTTTATTATTCAATTAAAAGTGTTTGAACGAGGGAGAGAAAATTACATATTGAAGCAGAGAAACTTGAATGATGAAATTATATGTTAGTTATTTTTATTAAATGGTGAAATGACAAAAATTTAAACATGAACTAATTTTAGCAAACAAATGAAAGTCAATAATATAATTAGATAAAATTAAAAGAAAACGATTAAATCTGTCGATACCACAATAGTTAAAGACTAAAAACAAAATTTACTCCTTATATTTATTGATTATTTGTGAATTAGCAACCATAATATAAAATCAAATATTTTTGAATGGATAAGCGATAGTGATTAAATCCCTATACACAATATATCTACATGGCTACATGTCACTAAAGCTATCATAACAATATCTATATTTTATATTTGTTGTTAATTAGGGGTTGACAATGCTACTTGAAAAGATTCTGTAATAATTCGAGCAATGGCCCAACAAAATCATCAAAGCAGTTTCTTGCACATCATCATCAGTCCACACAAGCTATGTAAACCATATTTTGTATACTATAAAATAATATACATTTAGTATAAAAATAATGTGATACATTATATTCAGGGGATATACATTATTTGTATACTGAGTGTACATTATATTCTATAATATACATTCAGTATAAAAATAATATACATTTAGTATATTAAAAATGTACTTTATGTTATGTTCCATACAGCACTGTGTGGACAATAATTTGCCCATCATCACTGCTTCATAACGACAATAATAATAATCACAGTTTTCTATGCTTTATCCAAGATATTTGTCCATTGATGCTGTTTGTTGAGTTCACTTCTCTGATTTTTTAGGGCAATACAATACTATAAAAAGAAAACATGTTTCACATCCTTTGTAATTGGAAACCAAACCTCCAGGTTGTATACTTGTATTCTGTGTCTCCATCGGAGCTGTTTGAGCTTTTTATTGTTTTAGGTGATAATACTTGTCTAGCAGCTTCTCAGTGTACTCTCCAAAAGTTAGAGAGCCATCGGAGGAGGCGATCAACTGCAAATAAAATACAATGAATCATAATAATTCAAGAAAGTGTAATACAAGTAAAATAAATAAATACAAAACTATAAGAGGAGACTATGTAGGAATATTTGTTCAGGGATGAGTATGTGATTCTAGTTAAAAGATTATAAGTTCAATCTCTAAATCCGTTATATATAAAATTAAAGAGGAAGGGAATCAATGGAAATAATGAAAGATATTGAAATCTCTCACTAGGAATTTAGAAGGTCAAAGTACCTATGAGATCCCTATACTATAGTGTTTTGTTCAATTTAGTCCTTTTACCTTAATTTTGTTCAATTTAGTCCTTGTACTTTTAAAAGTAAAACAATTAAGGACAATAACTTATATTTGTGTATTTATTTTGGATATATTGATGTAATATATTGGTGATAAAAATAATTAATTTTAAATATTTATAAAATAATATATTTGTTGGCGTGTAAGTATGATGACGTGACAGATATAATATCAGCGCCACATTAGCTATTGTCCTTAATTGTTTCACTTTTAAAAATACAAGGACTAAATTGAACAAAATTAAGATAGAAGGACTAAATTGAACAAAACACTATAGTACAAGGACCTCATAGATGCTTTGACGAATTTAGAATGCCCTTTATTTATGGTTCCCATTTTTAAAAGGCATGGTGTTTTGGAAATGGATTTATAATGCCAAATACATACCTCCTTGTGAATGTGTACCACATCTGGGAAGTTTAGCTTTTCGTCCCTGAAATTGTAGGGATTAGACATTAATCCAAATTATTATTTTTTTGATTGCCTAGGGTATCCCTCCAGCCGATAGCCAGAAGACTAATCCCCCGTCCCTATAGGGAGGGCACTGAGCGGTAGGGGACTGGCCAAATGGTTTGTTCCATTCACATGGGTGGGGATCGAATCCCCAATCTCATACTTAAGGGACGAGGTGATGAACCACCACACCAACCATGTTGGTTAGACATTAATAAAATTAATGAAGGCTCTTGAATGCTTAACAAAGATACATGGCACACAAGCATAGCAGAGAGTTAAACTGGTATATATACACACTAGTATGAATTCATGAACGGGGTTCACTTGTTGTGAATAGACATACCAGTCAGGCTGCATGAACAAGGCAAATGTTGAACGATCAACACCAGATGCTTCCTCCCCTTTTGGTGCCTGTGAAGTTACGCACATCCATTTTATAAGTAGAATAAGTCAGCACAAAGAGGATTCAGTTCAAGATGGTTGTATGACTTGTAGCAGTGCTGCTACAAAATAAAGTTACCCAGTGGGGGCTCAAGGTTTAGCCTAGTGGTAGGCTTAAGACCCTTTCTAGGCACATGGTCTGGGACCAAATCCTATTTTCCCATCCTTCAGAAGAGAGAGGGAGACCAAGCAAGAAAGGAAATATGTTACAGCAATATGCATGAAAAGCAGAACAAACCGTTTGCTTTCCCCTGTAATTTTGGCACAATACCTTCCCCCCCAAAACCTTTACAACTATTGGGTTGCTTTTGTACCAAAAACACTGCAAGTTAGTGAAGGGAAATGGTGAAAAATACCCGGACACAATGTGGTGTTGCACAGAGCTGACCTCTTGACAGTATCTCAGTTGTCTCACCAATTTGGTATGCTATTTCATCTTCACCATATTCCACCTAAAAAAGTTCAAAACAGACAAGTAGAAGCATTCCTATAAGCATGATGTATCAAAGATCAGTATAAGGCTTCCATGTAACCAACTTCAACTAGATTGGAATTAAGGATTTGTTGAGTTGAGAATTAGAGTGCATATGCTTTTGTTCAGATTAACCATGATTACTAGTTGCCTCTAAAGTGCATATGGTTATCTTTTTCACTTCCCTCTTGAATGCTAAGAGAGACATTCTAACCTTCTGACCTGCACTCAGTCTAGACTTATTCATTTTGTCAAATTTCATTGACAATGTCATTTCTCTAGCATCCAAGGTTGATATACTTTCAATAACTAGTGTCCACTTGCCTCTTTTCCTTCTCTTTTCTGCCTTTTGAGCGTCTTTATCATATAAAGAACAAGAGAGGACAATATCCTTCAATATGATTCATATTCCAACACACTTTTTTGGGAAGGTGTTAGTTTAATGGACTCTACATACTTAAATGACTATATATCAGGCCTATGAAATGTTCTGGATTTTATACACATCAGCAATTTCAACAAAAAAGTGATTAATTTAAGCAATGAAGAATCACTAGTGCAGGGATACACACACACACAAAACCATCATTTCTCTATATCACAAGCACAAGAAAATATACTTTGACTATTTGACCAGTACGCGTTTTTATATAAAGGCCAGCAGCAATATCAGGGCAAGATATTTCTACACCATCTCTCATAAATATGCCACATGTAAGACCTACATGTTGAATTCAAACTGTAATCAGAGAGACAGACTGATGAAAAAGAAAAAGAAAGAGTAGCATATAGAGATATTCTTTTAAAATGAGAGAAAACAATGTCTTATTACAGTCATAGTGGTGACTTAGGCTTCAATAATTTTGCAAAGGTGGATATTCAAAATCAACCTAGATTTCAAATAGTTTTGCACAATGTGTTCACAAGGAAACTCTGATATTGAAATTCATTCTTTGTATTAACATACAGGGTTTACAAGGTTCAGTTGCATGCATTTCTCTATTGTCAACTTGTGGACAATATATGTATTTTATATGCATTAAAAAGTAGCCAATTCTACATTTTACTCCAGATCTGGCTTTCATCAATGTGAGCTAAATAGCTAATAGTGATACTAAATTACTAATTCATAAAAATCCTTTGAAGTGGCAGTCCAGTTTAAGATTTAAATAACAGACAGAATATGGATAGTAAAATCAATAAGATAAGTGGTATGTGGATTTTGGAATGTACAGCAAAAATTGGCAAATATTTATAAGTTCAAAGAATGGAGCTGAGGAATTCTAGAAGTTAGATTACCTGTCAGTGAACCATGATCAGTATGCCAACCACACCAAGATGACATGGATTCATCAGCTTGGTAGCTGCTACTGCAAAATATAAATAAAATAATAATAATAATAATAATAATAATAATAATGATAATAATAATAATAATAATAATAATAATAATAATAATAATAATAATTAAAATAAATAAATAATTAATGAAATTATAAATATAGAGATCTCATATCCATGTTCTTCCTTCTAAAACAGTGAATACAAAACTATAATTATATTTTGAAGAGATTTAGAGGACCAACAAAAAAGGAAATCCAATAGAATTCATAAAGGTTAACAATATACAATCACAAATCAATCATAAAGTCACATATTTTCAAAGGCCATTATCTCAACATCCAAAAAATTCTAGTGAATGACTAAATTCCATATTGAGATATGACATTTTATAATACTCTGCTGGCTACAAACGGTGACGATACGATAAAGAAAAAAGATGATGCCTTTAAAAATTTTGGACAAAGAGTTTGTCCTATATGTGTATTTTATAGTAGTTGATAACTAGCACTGAGTTGTGACTACAAATTAATCGAAACAAAGGAAACTGGTGGAAAAAAAGTGTTTTTAATAAAAGCTTCAAGCCAACAGTCAACTCAATTAACCATTTTGGGAAAATAGAAAAGCCCAAGTTGTCAAATAGCTTTGGTCATTGTTCTTACTCTGTCTTTAGTCTTCTGCCAAGTGCCATTTACTTTGAGAACCCACAACATAAACTGAAAACATAACAGCATAACTGGTACAGAAGAGATAACAAAATTTAATATACGATTACCTTTGCTGGGCAGGGAAATAGTAAAGCAATCGGCCTTTATGACATCTAGAACGATGAAGTATCTGTTCAAGGCCATCAGTTTCATTTGTTTTGATCCTGCTGGATACTGCACCAATTAAGTAAATGGAACTCAAAAATCGGTGTTAGAAGAAATAAAATTTAACTCAATGCCCTCCTGCATCATGCAGACATGCAGGTAAGGGAAAGGAGTAATATGTCACCATACCTCAGTTAATTTACTTATCATTGTACAGAAAGTGAAACATACTGGCAAATTGAAAACTCAAATTACGTAGCAACAGGAACACAGACTATGGAAGACCTTTTCTGTGTTGTGTACTGGGGTGGAGGGGTACATTCAAGGACAGTCTATTTGGGTATAACTCAAATCCTCTTAGCCAGGTATGGATATTTCACATAATTGACAATTTCTTCACTTTGAGTCCTTGGAAATTTTAATTAAAAAAATTAGCTTATTCAAAATGACACCTAAGCAATGAAACCATTAAATATTTTGTTAATAAATCACAAATCCATTTTAGACTCCAAACAGACACAAAGGATTAAAGATGCCATTACTCAAACACACACCATGCTGGTTGCTATCAATGCCTCATATAAGATACAGTAAGCTGGCTCACAATGTATTATGAGCTCTGCCTTATGTAGCCAGCCCTAATAAAAATTAAATATGGACCTATCATCCATATCATATTTATTAACTAGGAGCGAAGGGGTCACCCAGCAATGTGAGTCTTGAAAATTCTTATAGTCTAAAAGGGAGTCCAAAGACTACAAACAACAGCCAATGGCCTTCAGTTCATTACCCGGCAAGACAAAAGAGCAAAAAAGAAACTCATTCATCTAAAAAAACAGAGCAACTCAAGCATTAAGAACTTACCATATCGGTCACAGTGATGAGCCAACAGCAACCCAACATCCAGAATCATCTTTCCAAGGGCTTTAAAAGCTGCATAGTGAAAATAAATATTCAGAAATCATAAATCAACCAAGCATGTTAACTGGGTATGATGGTGTGGCACTGGTACCAAGCCACAAACTGTACATCAAAACTAACAAATACTTCATGTCTTCATATGTGTCAACTAATCACGAGCTTTAGCCAAATAACTTTCCAAATAAAAGAATGAAGAAAGAATAAATTTTCCTTAAATTTAGATATTTAGTATAATAGTATTATCAAAACTGTTTTAAGATTCATGGACAAAAAAAACTAATTGCAGAACCAACAATTGGCTAAACATTGATGTCAAATTAACCTCTACAGTACAAGGATTGATTAAAACAGGATCATATGATGCCTATGAAAATATAGACTATTTAGGTGTTGCTATTCTATCAACAACATTGAATGAAGTAGAGATACCATCTGTAATCAAGTATCAAGCAAATTTGTATTTGAAATACACCAAAAAAGTGCAATGCAGATAAAAAGTAAATGTTGAATTTATAGATAGATGAATAGATCAAATATACCCATCTCAAGTTCTGGCAGAGCGCTATGGGGCCATATATTTCGTCCGCAATATGATGAATATCTAGAAGGACAGAGAAGACATAATCTTTACAAGGATAGAAAAGAACATAATCTTTAAGCAATATGAATTATATAACTGCAGAAACTCAAAGGTGACTTGCAAAAATTTTACAGATTTGATACATGGAAATTAATCAGAGGTATGACTATAGCATGGATATTAAAGAAGAGATCTTAACCGTTCAATAAGGGATTTCTCAGTTGTAGGCACATCAAATACTGGATTTGCATAGAAGGATCCTTTCAGTGTATCTGTGTAATAAACATCAAGTAGCAGTGAGAAAGTCCAAGGAAACATGAAATATATGTAAAGTTTCGGAAAACAGCACCTATAAAGACACCATGCGTGATGTGGGAGCATGTGCAAATCAGGCAACAGAGAGCAGGTTAAAGTGTTAAACATAACATGAGATGCGTATAAATTTATAGAAAACATCCATAGATAATTAGATGGTGCATATGCATGCCATGTGTGTATCACACACTAATGAAGATTATGGGTAAAAGTAAAATAATTACTGCTTCAAAGTCCCTTTTTTATTTATTAAAAAAAGTAGCAATATGTCCACAGGCCGAAAAAATTATCACAATCCATTTAACTTAAATATTTCATTATAAGATAAAGGGATGAAATGCCCTCTATTGGAGGTTCTTTTATTTCATTTGTTAGTCACCAACGTCTTGTAAATTGTAATGATCACATAATAACTTTGACATGTAAAACTTCTCAAGTGAATTCTATGATTTTCTCTTTCTCAACCATTACAAGAACAGTCAATTCTACCTGGCTTTCCAGATTCAAGCTTCTCTTTTCCATGGCTCCATCCAAAGTTATACCTGGCATAAGTCCCAAGGCCATAGCAAATCTAAGATTAAATGGTGAATAAAGGAAAATAAAATCCCCAAGCACAAACTTGCATATGGAGTTCAATACAGACAGCATGAGGATGGCAGCCATTAGAGATGGAACAAACAACCAAATACTAGAGAATAGCAATGCATTCATTCATAGAAAAAAAAAAAAAAAAAACTACGATTTAAGGGTTGATCATGGGATAAGTTTAGTTACCTACTATGGGGATCTTCCAGCTCCTGTTTCACACTTTCTGGCAGGTTGGCTAATCTGATAAGAAAAAATTTCTTTACAACTCTATCTTTATATTGTTATATCCAAATAATACATCACATATATCTATGGTGCAGAACTGCAGTCAAGAATATATTCTTACCTAGGTGAAAGATGAAGTAGGTTTCGACGCAACAAAGTATACTCAGGAACCTACAAAAACAAAAAGGATGAGAAAGCAAAACACATATAACAAGCTGACATCATACTGATAATGCAGCTTCAATAATCTGACAGCCAAATTACAATTACAACTTTCTATCTAAATGTGTAAATATCATTTCCTTACATCTGAAATTGACAGAATTCCAAGGCTGTTCGGCCCAAAGCCCTCTTCAATTTTCGCCGATAAGTCAGCATTCTTATCCTGATTCAATCAAATTCATCAGAAACGAAACCATCAGTAAACCTGCACAAGTTGGCACCAGAATAACGTAATGCATATCCGCACGTATACGCTCTACCGAATTTAAACACCGAAACGTGAACGCAACAGGATTTCAAAAAACGCACGCTTCTTTTCGAGAGAGGAAACAAAAAAAAAAAAAAAACTCGATACTGAGAGCCGTGCAGCTCTTCAATAATCTGACTTCTCGGTGAGAAAACTCACCTTGAGCTCGGTATAGGATACCGTAACCGTACGAACCGTGTGCGACGGTGCTTGGGAGGAACACGCCGCCATTGCTGCAAAAGCTCGGCGAGAAATTCTGCGGTACGGCGGCAAATACTGAGAAAATTGCGCGGGAAAACTGGTATGCGGGTATTTGGATAGAGAAGGTGGCGTTGAAGGACAGAGAAGAGAATACTTCATTTATTCTGTGATATACTGTCCTCGTTTCAAATGATTCTTCGAATCAATTTGTGTAAACGCAGAGAGAGAAAAGAAGAAAATTAGAGAAATGAGAATTTCGAACTTATGCTCTTGTTTTTTGGCGTCCTTGTCCGAATTTATTTATGCTTTGATTGACTGTGACTTGCGAAAGTCACTGTCGTGGATGCGCAAAAATTTAAATATAAAGTCGCTGCCGTGGATGCTCAAAAAATTAAAGGGAATTGTATAAGTTACTATATATACTACTCACAAATTTAACACTTTTTGACGTTATAAATTTCAATTAGGTTAATGTTAGGGTATGCTGAGTTGGCCGAGGACAACCTATGCTCAATTCGAGACATTGTAATTTACTATGAAGATATAATGTTAAATGATTAATGTGACTTATCATAGATGGATGTGACAACTAGTGCTTGACTTACCACCGCACTTACAGAATAAGATCCATTAGTTAAGATTTAAACGTTGACACTGAATATTTTTTAAAATTAAATATTGACTCAAAAAGAAATGAACGAGTAACGAGTGAAACTTAATTCACGTATCAAAAACTCACGAGTTAATTATTATGAACACATTTTCAATTGAGATTATATAATTTACAAATTATTATACATGAACAAAGTTAACAATCTAGATGTACCCTTGGATAAATGGCACCGGTGGCCTACAAAAGATTACTTAGGAAACTCATCCAACTTTATGATGAAGAAGTAAAAATTAAATACGAATATTATATATCTTTTTTTTAAAATATGGTTTAAAAATATATATCTTGCAATTTATGGGAAAAATGGAAAATATGTCCCAAAATATCGTATCTTTAGAAAAATGTAGTCTATTTTATTTGGGAAGCTTTAATTAGATTGATTTTTTCCCTTTTTATTTAATATCTTAACAGTTAAAACCACGGAGTTACAAGTTTATAAATGGCAAATGTAAGGATACTAAACATTTTTGTCAATGCTAATTGTATGGCTTGGTTTTCCATGCCTCCTACTTTTCTTTATGATGTACTTATTTCGAATTCTAGTTAATGAAAATTTTCTTTGTTTTATTTTCAAAAAGAAAAAAACATTTTTATCAAAGATTAAAAAAAAAATTCATATTTTAGTCCGACCATGCAAAATATCACAAAAAAAAAAAAAAAAAAAAAAAAAACACTCAATATTGATGCACATTATCAAAAGTGTCGTCAATATTGTTCTTTGCTGACAAGGGACTTTCTTCTTTTAAATAAGATTATATCGTTCAAGAGGTAGTATTTGAGAGAAGACACAAAGGTTCGAACTTCAAATCCCTGGTGGACACCGATATTTGACCCTATTTGCTGAGTCATTGTATCCTCTCAAATGCTCTGTCGAACCGAAGTTTGGGGAGCTTTTTAGGGTTGGAGATTCAACTACTCCGTATTTCCTAACATTCTTCCTTAAATATGATAATGAATTCACGATAACCATTCAATTTGAATGAAGATTGTAGTGCGTCAATTTGGATGCCAGAAGCAACCATGGTTGCCGTTCCCTTGTCGAATTGTTGATGGGAGAGGCAACCACTTCGTTAATTTGTATGAAAGAGTATGATTGTTTGCTCTTTCATTAATTTGAACTTTATTCATAAATCAAAAGACTGTCTAAATTTGAAATAGTACATAGGATAGGTCTTCGTCTTACATTGGTTATTCATGTTCGGCATACCGCATACGAGGGATACTTCCCAAGTTCCATCCCTATTGACTATTGCTGGCAACAAAAAGGAACCTTATACATTCAGGTCTCCTATTTCTGGGCTTAGGGGTTCAAATACAGCCTCCACCTCACTGGGATTAACCTCCTCCAAGCTTGATGGATTCCATTTTGGATTCTGTGAAAAGGAGGAACAAAATTAAGCGGGTGGTGAAGTGAACAAATAGAACAAGGTTTCGTTAAATTATTTCCAAATTAAACACAATCCAATTTCATCCATCGAATCTGAAATGCCTCGAATTATTGCAAAGTACAGCTGCTGTTGAAAGTTTTATATAGGCTTAAAATTACAAGAAACAAACCTGATCCTTGTCCACCAAAACAGCACGAACACCTTCAGCAAAATCATTTCGGACAGAAGATCTCAAAGCAATGCGATACTCAGTTTTCATCACCCCAGTTAGCTGAGCACAGCAAATTAGTATTGAAGATCAGATATTGCTGTGAGTTATGATTGTGGAGCTCACATGAAAAAAGCAATACAAGATATGATAGAAATGGTGCAGCGGGGAACTCTCACCTTTGATAAGATATTGTTATTGCATCCGCGAGCAGCTGCAACTTTGGAGAAATACTTTTGAGTGAGATGAAGAGAAAAGGGGGCACCCTTTCTAAGCCCTTGCAAAGCATCCTTGGCCCACTCAGCCACTGTTTAGTAAAGAATGGGATGTTTGAGGTGATTAATGCCAATAACACATCAAATGTAGAATTAATTAATAGGAACCAGTGGATGAGTCCTTCGTACAAAAAACTTACCTAATGTATCAGCACTCTCCTGATGATTTTCTAGCTCCTTCATTATCTCGTTGATAGTCTTGTTGCCACCAAATGTTGAAATTATCCTAGGTAAAAGTAACTTCAAGCGTGGCTCTGAATCAGGGCTGCTGCTGTATTTTTCCAGTAGTTTCTGAATATCGTTGTGTGGATCCTCAGAACTAGTAACAAGTGAGATAGTAAGGAATAAAGTTGATAGATGCTGCAATCGCCTATCTCTATCAGACTAACAGACTTCTTACTATAAAAGTAACTCAAAACACATTAAGAAATGTGTTAATGAGCCAATCTCTACAGAAACTGAGCATGTTGGAATACCAATATGCAAAGGCAGAATCTTTTCTTTCAACCACCAAATAAAATGTTAAATAAAAAACGGCCAAAGTTCATAATCAATTTGAGCAACAAGAATATAACATATTTAGGCACTCCATCTCAAATAGAGCAGAAATAAATATGCAAGACAAATATAGCATGGATAACTTCAGCTAAGTTAATAAGAGAAGAAAACATACAGTGTGGCAGCCAAGAGATCCCCCTTCAGTGCACTCAAATTTGAAGATGGGACATAGTGTGTTCCTAGACCAACATACAATGCATCAGCAGGTGTCGATATTCTATTTCCCGTCAATCCAAGATAAGCACCTGAAACAGGTAAGAAGGTTGAATAAAGAATAAACTATAAAGAAGATACCAACCATAGTTAAAGATTGAAAAATAAAAGAACAACAAATCCATATCACAAAGAATCCAACCAAAATAAGAAGAAATCTCACCAACTGCTCCTTCTCCTGGGCTATGTGCAGCTATATAAGAAAAGCCAACATCTGGAAACAAGCCAATTCCATTTTCTGGCATGGCAAGAACAGTCCTCTGAAACAAATCCATTTGAATGAAAAGTGAATATTAGTAAATAAAATATAGAAACCGTAAATTTTCATTAATAAAGAAGATGTACCTCAGTTATTAGCCTGTAGCGACCATGGCCAGATAATCCAATGCCAAATCCCATGGTTATGCCATCCATGAAGCTAATATAAGGCTTCTTGTACTCAAAGATCTTACATATTAAAGAATACTCAGCCGTAAAGACCTGTTACATTGTATTGGGTTTGGAAGTCATTAAATATCCAGTAAGACCTGCTTGACTAAATATCATCATCTAACTTAGATTTTTTACTTTATTGACCATCTCCATTGACAATGCAGACATGAAGAAAAGCGGTAGAGTACACGAAATCTAAAGAATCTTAAAGAATTTAGAGTCACAGTTCCATCCCAAGTATGCAGTCACTTCCACTTTCAACATATAATAGTTTCCATAAACAAAACCAACTTGAGTAAAAGCATCAGCTATAAACCACATTTACATTAAGAGCTACTTGAGTTATCCAACTTCATTTAATTGATTTCATTTTGGTGTTATGTTATTGCTAGATGGTAATCACACGGTGAAAAACACACTACAAGACCTCAATAATATCTGAGAGTTGGTTTTTGGTTGTAATCTGCTTGATATCACCACCTGCAGGTAAAATGACACACAACGACTTCTGTGATCCATTGGGCTATAAAAATGATGTTGATAAAACTATACAAGTATATGACATCAATATCTGCAGCTAAGCTACAGTTTAAGTATGCAGCATGACCACAACACATTGAGAATTCGGCCAAAAGATAAGCATAGCTATTGGCTATTGGTTAATGGAAGGCTGTAGGAAAATTCTCATGATGCCAGAAAAACCTTTGGAACAAGAGCAGTGGTTTTGTCCTTTTGAATTTCGGCAACAACGCCCTTAATGTCCATTCCTGCATTGGCAATGAATGATTACCCTCTAAACCTTATAGCACTCAGAAAATACTAGCCTACAAGTGCAGACACAACACTTGCACATATACAAACACATTCGTATGCCCTCAAAAGACTGTAATTTGAGACAATAAGACTACTTTGAGATTAAAAAATAAATAAAAACCTCAGACCTCAGTATCTATTCCAAAATAATGACTAAAAGATTTTCCACTAGTCATTTTACCTGCACAAAAGGCACGTGGAGTGCTTCCCTCAATTAAGACACATTTCACCTTTGGGTCTGCTTCCCATTCATCCAAAAAGCTTTTATATCTGATATCCATATCTGCATCATATTCAATCTCACGTTATTGCAATAATACAACCGCAAGTAACGCTTTAACATCTCAACCCCGCAGAAACTTTCATACGGTTTTTTTTTTTTTTATTTTTAAATAAATTAAGGTTGTACCAAACCGCTGCTCCAAACACATAATCAGATATTAACATTCTCGCGATAAGCTCAATAGACTTGCATCGCTATCACTCCAAATATTTAAGATCAATGCAGTGACTACTTACTCAAATGGACCAGAGAATCTCAAATCGATAACGAAAACAGTTAACCATATCAAATTATCAATCACAGAATCACCAATTTTTAAACTGAAATTCACATACTATACCTAAAGATACTTCACACAGGTGAACATAAACGTACCTATGTTCATGGCGTTCAGAGCTTTTGGGCGGTCGAGGGTGATGACGGCGACGCCATTCGGGTGAACATTTCCTTTGACGAACTCATCGGAGCTGCTCGAAGCCATGATCGCGAAGGTCCGGAAAGAGGGAAACTGCGGCGTATTTGAGTATCTAGCTCCGGCACGAAATAACGAAGAGACGGAGCCGGCGACGAGAGCGGCGGCGGTCGATCGGCTTAGATTTAGCAAATGCTGCGAAGCTCCAAACAACTGTCTTTGCATCGTTTTTGGTGAGAAAGTTACAAGTCGGAGAGTGAGAGAGTCAGTGATGGGGGTGCGATATTTTTTTTATCTATTTTACGGATTTGCCCTTTAATTAGTATTAAATTACTGCTGGATATATAGGAATTAGGATGGTGGTTGTTACATTCCGGGATTATAGCCCCTATAACTAGAGTTGCTTTTAAAAAACAAAAAATCAAAATATCTTATTTATTCAAATAAAAATAGCATTTTTCTTTTTAAAAAGTTATGTCTAAATTAATTTTACAATAACCCAAAGGGGTAACAAAGAGTTTTCTTGTATGCCGCTAATTAGTCTACCATCCTGTTTCATCCCTCCTTTTGATAAAAAAAATAATAATAATGATAATAATAATTTGAAAAGACAATTTTAAATATAACTCAAGTTTAATTCCCAAACTAGAATAATGGAAAATTTGTCATAGTAAGTGCTTGGGTGACTTGCATTATTTTTATTTTTTTTTTGTTTTTGTTTCTTCTTCTTTTTAATTGCTTTGATGGGTTGTATGTGTTATAGATAAAATGTTATGTGTCCTTAGAATATTATGTATGATTGTTCTTCAAAAATAATATTCTGTATGATTGAACATTTGTATTTTATGAGAATAATACTTGCCAAAAGTTTAAAATTCTTTTTAAAAACTATATATATAGTTAGATATTTATCTAATAGCCAATGAGCACCTAATAATTTTTACAGCAATATTTAAATATTATTATGTGTAGAATTGAATCCTTTTTTTTGGTATACATTTAACATTTCTTTTTCTTTTAACTTAAAAAAATTCATAATTAATTCTATTACAATTTAAAAAAAAAAAAAAAACTTTTTATGATATAGTAGGAGGGTAAGATTTTGATTTATTATTAAAATGGTATGAATTCAGACCTTAGTTTTAACATACAACATGACAATGACGAAACAAGGGACAAGATATTTGACACGATGATAATAATGTAACGAATATATGATGTAGCGCTGATTTAATTTGGATGTAACTATCACTTTCAAATAACCAAGAAAAATATACCATCTTTTATTTTTTTAGGTCACTATGGAAACTCACATACATTACCCTGAGAATGTGCACCAATAAATGATGGGTTCAATTAAGAGGGTGTTGGCAAGAATCGAACGCGTGACTTTTAGATACGAGAATCATGCTACATCCGCATATACCACCCTTTATTTAATTTTGAACTTTTCTTGTTGAGATTAACTAGAACAAGAAACAATAACAATACCAGAAAGTAAAGAAAACAAAATTTACGTGATTCTACAATGTGTCTGTGTCTACATGAGTGGAGCTAAAGCTGACACAGGTTCTAGTCCAACAAAAGTAAAAATTGTGCATTTAAAGCTGACAGGTGCATGGAAGTGGAATTGTTGGGCGGGGCATCCAATACCCTGCATCTCGAAAATGTGGCGGTATAAGGAAATAAAGTTACACATTAACTACGAACAATAGCTTTTGTCATAGTGATAAACATTTGATACTAACATTTTTAGGAATTCATTATAAACTTGCAAGTCATCAAGAATGTTAAATGCACACTTCAAGGATACACTTTTGAGTTGTAATGACAAATACATGCTGCCAATTTACAGACTGCAAATCTATAGAAAGTATGCACAGAGGTCCTTTTAGCTCCACCTATATGCATCTTCTTTTAACTTTGGTAGGTTGTGTAAACAAATCTTCAATTCTATCTGCACCATCTTTCTTCTTGCAATCATGGCTACTGGGCATAAAAGGAGAGCAAATGCAAAACAACAGAAGTTTGAGTACTAAGGTTTTAAGGTTCAAGAAGAATCAGAATGGTTGCGCGTTTTACCTGTGCAGGAGTCAGTTCAGGAACCTCGACCAAGCGTTCTATTGTTTGGAGCTGATCGTAAGGAGCAATCTGCACGAAAGAACCACGCCAGAACACAGAGCTTATAGCTACACGGGAAAAATATCTACACGGGAAAAATAAATTATAATCACCTGGCTAAATCCATCTGGCCAGGTTATTGATACAGCATAGTTCCCCATGGGGCGAATTTCTTCAGGCTCGATGTCCTCTGGTACATCAGAGTACTGCAGTTTCTGCTCACCGCTCCATTCAACCTGCTCCAGTTACAATAACTAACGTAAATCAGTAAGGCTACAAGGGAACAAAACCGCTAACCATGAAATTTTGTTTACGTACCACACTTTCAGCAGAGCGGTCGTTTCTTCTTACAGTTGCAGGGTGCAAATAGAATTCTTCGTCTGAATTGGGCACTTTCACCTTGATTGCCTTGATAGATCTATCATAACTTACTGCAGTCGAGACTGAAGCAAGGCGGAAACAAGAAGAATTTTCCAGTCGTTAGCAAGTTTCTAAACTGGAGTTCGAGAGTGGGGAAGAAGAAAAGAAGAAAGAGTACCTTGTTGGCGGATTCTGGCGCACTGTTGCACTACACAGACACCCAACTCTTGGAACGTACTGGCAACTTCTCCTCGAGGATCAGCCACAACTTCAGGCGTTCCACTATCTCCAGAAGCTGAGAGCTGTTTAAGATTCAGGGAAACAATTCTTTAAAAAAAAAAGTTAATCCTAATTAAGAAAATATGAAGTTGATTGCATGATCTGATGGGTAATACAACTAGGACATACGGTTGGTCTGATAGGAAGATCAAACAGATGCGGGATCCCAAACTGCTGCACAACCTGAGCACCTGAGCCTTTACCAAATGGGTAATAGCGTTTCCCATCAGCATCGAAGTGGCACATATTCTCGACTACAGCAACACAAGGTACCTAAGCAGCGGAATGAGATAAATATGATATGGTAACCCGTGATTAAGTCACATGAAAAGTCAAAACAAAACGGGAAAATAGATGACTGGTGTCAAACAGACCTTGAGCTTAGAAAACATGCGAACTCCCTTTGCAACGTCTATGAACGCTAACTTTTGAGGCGTGGTAACAATAACTGCAGCAGTCAATGGAACAACCTAATCACCACATCCAACCAAACGTTTTTGTTTCAAGTGTTTGACAAGAGGAACGTTGAACAACTAAAGAACTATCGTAAACATAAACATTAGTCACCAGGGTACGAGCAAACCTGGCACAGGGTGAGTTGAATATCACCAGTTCCGGGAGGCATGTCAATAACAAGGTAGTCTAATTCTCCCCTGCATAATGAAATCCATTATTCACAATGAGAAAACCACTTTTACTCAAGAGAGTTATCAGAGACAAGAACGGGCTTAGCTCACTGATCCAATTTATACAGAAAGTACATCATACCATTCGGTAGTAGTAAGTAGTTGGTTGATGACCCCAGACACCATTGGTCCCCTCATTATTGCACGCCCTTGCCCAGCAAATCCAAAAGACACCAACTTGACACCCAAGTATTCTGTTGGAATAATGGTTTTCTTCTCTGGGTTCTAAAGGTTCGTTAATGGTTATATTTCTGCAAGCTGTATGCATTTGAGTATAAGGAACGGAAGTTACCATTTCAAGCAGCCGGTTTTCTGGGGAAACCATTGTGGGCAAACTAGGGCCATATACATCAGCATCAAAGATACCAACTCGAGCACCCATATCAGCCAAAGTATAAGCGAGGTTGACCGCTACAGTTGATTTACCCACTCCTCCCTGTGATTTTTACATTAGCATAATGCAGGAACAACGATATTAAAAAAAAAAAAAAAAAAAACTTTCTTTTAATAGGCAAAACAGGACACAAACTTGCAAAAAAAATTCTTTCTTTTAATAGTAGCATTATATTAGCATAAGAATATCTATTTTGCAGTAGAATACTAGAATTTTCTCCTTGTGTCCTTCTGTTTCTTGCAAAGTTGTTGAAAAGAGAAGAATCATTATAGCAAAGTTTTAAATCGGCAGATTTTCACTGCTCATAAAGTATAACAGCAGAAATTAAAAACGTGTGGAGTTTACCTTGCAACTCGAGACAGCCACTATATTGGATATTGTTTGCAGCCCTGGTGGAAGTTGTCCAGCAAAAACGGGTTTTGCTGGTTGGGCTGACATTGTCACCTTCACCGTTTTAACCCAGGGAAGTGCCGCAACCACCTCATTAGCCTTTTGCTCAAACTGCAGAAAGATGAACATCGATAAATTTCTCATGCCAGGCAAAGTTGACATAACACTGATTCTTGGTAAATAACGGCCATAAAAACATGATTTGTTACGGGAAGAAGAAAACAAGAGTTATAGCATTAATTTAAGGTTCATTGTGACTGAATAATGAACCAATAGTAACAAAATAGAAAACTAAGTTATGTACCACTTGATACACACATCAATTCTTGATCAAACAATGGTGTTTGTGTTTCATTTACCATGTCCTTGATCGGACATGCTGGAGTCGTAAGCTCTAGCCGAAATGAAACCTGCAGCAACTCAATAACATTAGAAGAGAATATAAAATTTTACAAATAAGTTATGGAATCGATAAACTTGTGCACTTAATTAGTAGACCTCTCCCAAAGCCTCATTGACAAGGAGGTCCTTCACAAACCCGCATGAGACTATATCAGTTCCAAAATCTGGATCAATTATCTGTGCAAGGGCTTTAAGTACTTCAGCCTCAGCGGTTTGATTTGATACCACAGAAGCACTAGCTGCAATTTGCCATGTTTAGTTAGATATGTTGACAGGAACTCAAGAATCAGCATGTATTTGCATCCATAACATATATAGGAGCAAGAGTAAATTTAAACACCCCCTCAATTATGGGCAACCTAAACTGATTTACCACGACTTTGTGGTTCTTTGCGATTAGGTGGGGTTTATCCGTGCACACCCTTGAATAGTGGCTGCGATTTTCCTCGTCACTCAAAAAGAACAAAACTTTACAGTACACATACATGTCACACTACCTACTGAGGGCACAAATCTAAATAATATAACCGAATCTCACAAAAATTCAAGAAATGGGGTTTGCTTAAAATAACAACAAAACTTCCGGGTAGAAAGAAATAAGAAATTCACCTTTCACAGAAGCAGCTTTAGGCGTTAAAATTGAACGGGTGGATGCCACACTCAATGGCCTCAAGTGTCTTTGAGAAGGGAAAGGGGAATTGCAGAGAAGGCAACAGTTCTCAGCTACATATAATCCTAAGAAGTGGAAACAAGAGAAACATGGCATTAAGTCATTACATACAAATGCATATTTATGTATATGTGAGTGTGTGGCAGCATGGAAAGTTACCTGCTTTGGATTGTGAAGATAAGGGAAGAAAGGAAAGAGTAACTGAAGATGGAGCTTGAAGAAGCGGCATTTCCTTTACAATCTGTCACTGCATAGAATTGAGGTTGCTTGAGAGTGGAGCAGTAGCACTGCGCAGCAGCAAGAAAGTGAAGACGTTATGGAGCGATGTTTTCAGCCTCTCGTTATTGGAGAATCTTAGCCACGACTCTGTTAAGTCTGTTTCTGTATTTTAATAATTTTTATTTTAATATTAGCAAATAAATTTACATATTTAAAATTTTATAATAAAAAAAATAAGTCAATTTTAAGAATTAATTTTTTTTGTTAATTTTATTATTTTTTTTTTTTTTGAAAGTTACTGGCTCTATTACATGGTAGTATCTGTTCATATACTTTCTCAACCTACTGAAACACAAAGAACCAATAACACCTCCACTGAGGCTCGAACTCATAATCTTCCAAATGGAAGTCCAACCTGGGTATCTGTTGATTTTAATTTTATTTATTTATTTATTATTATTTTTTTTTTTGCTGATTACCCCACTCATACATGATAAAATATCATGTATGATAGACTTGATCAAAATGATATTTTTTTTTTTTTTTTGGATATACTTAAAGTTTTCACCGTCAGACACAGTGACTAATACCTTCGTTGAATTGTAGACACTTTTTTTTTAGTGGGACAGCTGGCCTAGAGATTTAAGGCGGCTCCATTCTCAAAGCCAATGATCGAACCTTTGACCTTTGGTTAAGGATGAATGAGTATGACCAAAATGATGTTGGTAAAAAGTAAAAAACTAATCTTCTAGTGCAAAAAATCATGTTTTGCCTATTATTAGTGACAAGATATTCAATGAGTATATATCATTACTCCCTAGCTAACTCTGATTTGCTCTCAACTTGGGAGTAGGGGGCTGTTGACGAGATAATTAGATTAGTCATTGGATTCGACCTTAAGCACATTTGGACTAACCCGAAGCAGTCAAAGCAATCAACACGGTCAGTTGGTAACGATCATGAGTGAAGCAGGAGAAGATGGAACGGTTCTTAGAGCAACCACATCTGCAGTTTTTTTGGGATTTTTTTCAAATCTAAAAATCAAAGCTTGAGTTTGAAAACTAATAGGAGATGGGTTTTTTGATGTTTTTTTTCTCCTGCAAGAGTGCAAGTGATAGACTTTTGTAGGGTCCACATCTTGAGAAAATGATACAAAGCTCTATAGGTGTCTTTGCGTGCTGGAAACGCAGGCGCGCAACCGGGCACGAGCAGTGCGTGCGCCTGCTGGCGCGTTACCTGCCTAGTTTTTTTTTTTTTCTTGTTTCCGTGTGAGATTCCCTTTTTTTTTCTTTTTTCTTTTTTCTTTTCTTCCTTTTTTTCCTCCCTCCTCTCTTTCCTAATTAGATCATCAAAAACCGTGAAAAAATTAAGCTGGTGGTGATGCTCTTAGAGTTTTAATACACTTAGTAGGACACCACCTCATCAAATAGCAGTTATGGAAGAGAGCACACAACAATTACTGAAGAGCCTAACACTTATGGAGGGAAGTCGTTGCACTTATTAGGAGACCGTTAGTACCCATTATTGTAGCCATTACTATTATACAGCTAATTGTCAGACACAAGACACAAAAACTCACAACACAAGACACATACACATGCTTAAAAAAAAAAGTGTAACGTGAATTGAACGCCCAAACGATCGCCGTCAAAATTAAATACATCACCGTTCAAAAACGACGTCAAGACCAGGGTCCACGATATCACAGTATAAGCGTCCAACGAGATTAGGTATGCTCTATCAAACATATCCACAAAGAAATTAATAGTGTGTTCATACAAACTCTACTTCAATGAGATTGGTATGCTCTATCAAACATATTTGCAAAGACACTAATATGTGTGCAAATGAGCTCTACTTTAACAAGACTGTGTATGTACTATCAAGCATATTCACCCAAAAAAAAAAAAAAAAAAAAAAAGGCAATGACAAAGCAAAGGCCAAGAATGAAAAGAATTTGCAGAGAAATAGAAATGAATCAGTATATATCTCACTTCAGTCTTCACCCACAGAATTCAGAACTGAAAATCAAATGACTAAACAACAAAATCTCCAAATCATTAAATAAATATATAGTTTTGCCTGCTCCATAACCAATCATCAATCTTCTGAAACAAGAAAATATCGACTCTAACCCTTCTTGGATCTCCTCCCCCATGGAGAAAACTCACAGATATACCTAAAATGAAGAACCCTGAATTGTTTAGCTGAACTGGGTTCTTGAAGAACCCTAAAAAGAACCCTCTTGTGTATGAATGAATCACTTGTGACTTGACAAAATTTGTTGTAACTACCAATACAATCTGCAATGTGGACTATATCAACAGAATTTGAAGAAGAAGAAGAAGAAGAAGAAATTTCAACCTGCATGAATGGATGGCTTTGCCGATTTAATGCCACAGCCTGCCACAGAAGCCAGTTTGAGGCCTTTTGGTGGATACGATTTCTGAAAAAGAATGGACCAACTGTCCAGCTAAGCTGCTCGGGTCGTCGATTAGAGTCTGGATGTAGGTATTCACGACCCTGCGTTCCCGCTCTGTGGATCTCAGGCTAAACCAGGAAAGGAACTTTAACCGGAAGTCGTTCTTAATGTGGCCCTCGCATTCCAGCCACCGGATGGTTTTCACGCAGTGCTCAAAGTTCTCGTCCAGGAGCCCCGAACCGTTGCGTGCTCGGTTTGGCGAGCCACTTAGCAGGGCGCTGTCGGAGTCCTGCGTCTCACCGTTGGTGCTAGCTGCCCGCTTCCTACTCCCCGCCAACTCAGAGTCGACGGCCGTCACGTCCCGGGTCTGGAGATGGTTCCAGTTTTCGGAGTCGCCGCTCCCGTGGGACCCAGCGATGCAATTCCTCCCCTCGTTGTCGTTCGAGACAGCGTCTTCCACATCAACAATCTGCACGCACCCGTTGTGTTCGTCTCTAGACGACTCGGGGGTTAGCTCTTCATTCAAATCGGGAATCAAAGCAACATTTAAGTCGAGCTGGCAAGAAGCAGACCCCGGGTTATGATCTTCTTGCACGGCGTTGAGCTTGGAAAATTCAAGGCACTTTTCCGTATCTACACTGCCTTCTTGTTGTTCCCAATTAGTCCTCGTGATTTTTCCAAGGTCACGAACCTTGAAACCCGAACTAGACTCAACTATCGTAGCTCCGTCATCCGTTTTTGTGCCCGAGCTTCCTCCCGAATCTAGATTCTCCTTCGAGTGATTTCCCGTAACAGAGCTCAAATCGCTCTTCGTGAAACACTTAGCCTCGGAGTGTCCCAAGTCACCGGACTCCGTATAGGACACAACCCTAAAGCAGTACTCCATGCAAGACTGCAAATCAGATATCAAAACCCTTCTTTGACTTTTTGGAAGGACACAATTAGGCTCTTTAGGGTAAGTGTCGACTTCAGCCCTACGGTACCAAAGCTTATACCCTTTGACATCTACCGACGATGCACTCAATATATCTACCAATACAATTACAACCGAAGAAGACGTTGCTTCCTCAAAATGGATTTTGCAGGCTGCTGGCAGTGAACCCTCTGACAAAAAAAAAAAAACACGTTAATATAGACTCATCTTATATCATAAAGAAAATGTAATTAACCTTTCTCTTTTCAGTGAGGTTGGTTTTAGCCTTTTAGGGCTTGAACCCATGGCCGAGTGGTAAAGAAAGAACACGGTATATCATAAGATAAAATTATCTATAGTGCCAATTCTTTTCCAAGAATTTGAGAAGTACCTTTATAATTAGGGGCAGAACTATACTTTTTGGCTAGCCATTCATCGGCTTTTTTAATGGCGAGAGAGCAGAGAGACTGCACGTCACCTGCAACAGAAAGTCTACTAACAATGCCACGAGCCATCACGGTGGAAGAGCCATTCACAGGGCCCACCTCTGTTTCTAATTTAGCCTTGGCTTCTTTAATAATATTGTGTAGTTCTTTAAATCTGGCAGTCCCGTCCAGGAGCCTGTAACTCATGTATATTCTAAAACAAAGGATATCAACCCGACGGGCGTCTTTTGCTATACAAAGTTGCTTCTTCCAATAACTGCAAAATTCGGTAGTAACAGAACAAAGGCTCAAAACACGTCATAAGAAATAGCTAATTGGTTGGATTCAATCTTTTAGTGTGGTTTGGCCCATGTGCATGTGCATTATAGCTCAGTTGAGTGTCAATCTTCTTAGATTATAACATGGTATCAGAGCCTATTCGGTCCACTTTGGGTTCACCCATATAAGGGTGAGGGGAAAAAGAACATTTAATTTTGCAAAGAAATTGTGGATAAAAGGCATACCCTAGTATTTCCGAGACTTTACCACAAGAAACACAACAGTAGCTCCCGTCTAGCTGCATTAATTGTCCAAGATCAACAACCCCCACCTTCCCTTGTTTGAAGGCACACTCGATATGGCATGTTAAGCCACAGGATTCCCCCTCACCGAACTCTGATATGCATTCCAACCAAAGACTCGGATCCTTATTATCGTCAAACGAGTGGCAAATGCAGCAAGAGCACCTCTTACAGAATTTGTCGTCCATTGAAATACTTGCTTGGCATGCAGAGTTTTTGCAGATCCATGACTTTGGGCGTTTAAAATTGACACACTCCTCGGTAGGCGGTGGTATTCGGACAGGGTTTTCCGCCTTTCTTTGCTGCTTTCTTGGAGGATGATCCCGAGGGCTAGTGGTCATTTTCTTTGGCTCCTGATTCTTCACTATTTTCTTGCTCAACTTTTGAGGTTGTTCAGACATTTCACACTTGGAAAACCAAAACTCAGAAATTTTTAGGTGATGCTCGACTTCTTACTGAATCATTTCAATTCCCGTGTTTTCTCCGGGGCATGTTTTTGAGCACCGGAAACTGGAACATAACATGTTATAGTCAAGAAGAATACCAACAAAGCATAAACCCGGTAATCTAACTGAGATTAGCAAAACCTATTTAAAAGCAATTTAGCACTTTCATTTTACAATAATATGCATATGCAACAGGGATTTTACATTAACAAAGATATGATCTAAACAACATCAGAGGTTATAAGCAGAAGACTGAAACATGTGAATTGCAAATTATTTATACACCGTATTACGTGTGTCCATTCACAAACATAAAACTAAAATGTTCACAAACTCGTTTGACACGAGATGGTAAAATTGTTGTTAGCAAACACTCAAGTTAAGCGTTGTGGACATTTTAGATCATATTAATGAATGCGTAAACAGCAATACAACCACTTATGCCAAAGAAGAAACCATAATCCATTGCAGTCATTTACAAAGTGAATTCTTTCAAAGTGGAAAGTAAATAGAATTACCTGATGCAGGTGGATTAATTCACGAAGATTTCAAAAGGTTCTTTAAAATTAAGATCTCTTAAGACAGTGGAGCAAACCCTGATACCAACATCACAATTTAAACAGGAGATCAGTAGATATAAAATAAAGCTTTCGTAAACAAGAAAACATCGAGTGAAACATCAGGAGAGGTCAGTTCTACTTACAGTCAATATAGAGGATTCATTATCGTGACTCGTGAGATCAAGAAAAGTGTGTTCATGCCTGAATTGTGAGAAGTCAATGGTGGATTGGCCGAGGAGAAGAAACCATGGATGTCTGTCTGTTCATGCCTCGATCTGGATGAAAAGAAGCAGATCTAAAATGATCGGCCAGCCTAGGGTATCACAGAACACCACTCTGTGAACTCCTTATCTGATATGAGTAGGCCTATTGAGTAGTGGCATTTCGGCTTTTTATTCGATGAGCAAATTGACACTCATCCATACATCCAAGTTCAGATCATACTGGGCCAGATTCCTTGAAAAGTGATCCGCTAAAACAACCCTAAGGTTAATATCGAAATAAGCTCAATTATGTAGAAAATATCAATTGCCTAACTTTACTACATATAAGAAAAAGGAATGCTAATTCAAACAATTTCTCAATTTACAGAAGCACATTGTTATATCAACTAAATTTACAAGTCTAGAAGTTGGAATAGGTTAGCCATGATCCTCAATATTTAACTTAAACCATTAACTTGGGATGATTCATGTAGAACATAAACTAGCAGTCCTAACAGTATTTGGCAAGAAGAGTAATTGAACTACATACCATATATATCTTTTTTCCTTTGCTAAGAATTAATGAGAGAATAAAATTCTGATATGCTGGCAATAATGATATATATTACTTTCTAAACCAGAATAAAGCCTATTAAATTGCATAATATTCTGGTATCCCAGATTCAGCTCATTATGGACTTAATCGTTTGAGATTTGAGCATCTTTTCATTTCTACATTTTGAAGAACTATGGTAAAAGTTTCCCATTTTGAAGAGAAAACTTAAGGAAATTATGATCCCATATTTTGTTTCCAAAAGGAAATTATGATCCCATATTTTGTTTCCAGAAGGTTGGATTTGGTATAATGGAAAAGTGTTCAATCATTTACCATTACACCCTGGATCCAAACCTTGGAAATGACCACCATAAGACATAGTTAAGGTTCCATGATCTGAATGCCTTTTGCGCAGTTCATTAGATTATTCTACTTTTTAATGCAACCTTCAACTTTACATAGGTTTTTAATTTATTGAGGAAAGGCATGGCATACATACAACCTTTCCACATGATAACTATGTAAAGAAATGAAAAGAAAAAGGCGAAAAAAGAAAGATAACCCAAATTACTAGGGGAACAAAAAACAGACTGGTGGGCTGTCAAAAAAGAAATTCATCAAATTTAACATCTAAACCTTCTCTAAACAACAAATACACCGCAAAATTTATTATGATACCATATGGAAAGACTGCAGAATAGGCACTGAAAGAAGACTTTGCATGACTTATTCCATGGCTTTATAACACATAGATATTCTTAAGCCTCTTTCCTGCACAAAGCAAAAAAAAAAGTGGTTGATTTTATTATCCCATTTTCTGTAACCCTCAAGTTTTGCAAGTATAACTTTGAAACTGGAAATTTGGGAAGAAGTTTGGTGTTAGGAAAGAAAAAAACACACATTGTCTTCGTTTCAAATAATTTAACACAAAATTCGACTCTCATGGTGATAAATTGGGCAAATAAAACCGAAATAATTCTCTTCCAACTTAATAAGTCAAAAGAGAAGGGTAAAGCAATAGGAGCAAGAATCTTGATTCTCACCATTTCAGGGCACATAGAATGCATGTGGGGCTATGACAGGTTACCCTGCCACGAGAAAGAATGGAAAAAGCAGCAAGAAGAACCAACATGATGTCTTTGCACCAAAAATCAGCTAGATATCTTACTTAAAAGCCACAAGGCTCCTCAGAGGACTTGAAGGAGTAATCTGGAAGACCCAGTACACATTAAATCATTGATTGAAATGTCAAACACATACATAAAATTTGGCTAGAGAAAATATGCTTACAGACCAATACAGCTTTATTCCATGTTTTAAGTAAAATCAAGAAGCAAGAGCACTTTGGTGGCTACTCCCGAAAGATGTTGAAGGATAAACTAACCTTTGGGAAGAAATCTGTCTTCAAAAACCATGCCATAGAAGGCAGATAAATGTGTCAACAAAACTCTTCCTGAAAAATTCAAATATTTGTGTAGCACATTATTATGTTTGCAAAATTATGTAGCTCATTCAGGTTTACAGTAAAAACATGTTTCGAAAATCTCAACATTTTTAAAATAATAGACTTCCTATACCATACATATGCTTTTTAAGCTCTGGGGTTATAAACTTTGACATAATCATTCAATACATGATAAGATTGCCAGGCACACTGGTGCAACAAGATAGGAGATTTTCATAACTAAATCACTTGTTCTGTAAAAACTTCACTAAAAAAAAAAAAAGGGCTCCTTTTTCAGTTTCTCCTACTTCCTAAAAGGCCAGAAATGTACTTAAGTGAAATTGCATTGTGTTCATAAACTTCATTAGTGATATCTTCATTTACCATTGATCCTAATCCTAATCCTATCTCTATCACACAAACAAGGACACGCCATATGGATTGTCTTTAAAAATTTAACAAAAAAAAAAAAAACATTACACCTGCATAAATATCTAAGCTTGATAACAAAAAATATATATTTCACCTAAACAAATATCTAAACATGGTAACTACTCCCCATAAATACACAAAAAATATATATATTCTACCTACATAAATATCCAAAATTGATAACAATTGCACAAAAAAAGGAAACAGCATTAAAGAACCCAGTAGCAAATCCCAACCCAAAAAACATCATGCATACCCATACTTGAATTTTAGGCATACTACATATTATACATGCTATCAATTATCAAAGCAGGAAAAAAAAAAAAAAAAAGTGGGAAAAAGTACCTTATTGAGGAGCGAGAAACTGGAGAGAGAAAGATAAAATTAGGGTTTTAGAGGGAGAAAATGGACGAAAGAGAAGGGTTTTTGAGGGTTTTGGTTAGAGGGGAGGGTATGGATAGAATGGAAAATCGAATTCCTTCTCTCACTATGTCGCCGCTGCGGTGGACAGTGAAATTCACCGTTCAACGGGAAAAGCGCAGTGACAGACTAGTGATTTGTCGAGTCCAAGAAGCAGGAGTGACGTGTCAATCTGAGGCTTAGTACGTGCACTCACGCCTCGTTAGGCGCGTGAGAATAAGGATGTCTCTTTGTCTGATCACGAAGAGCAGATTAAGGTTCCAGCAATCCAGCTTCTGTGTCATACACGAAGCAGTATTAAGGTTTGCTGTACGAATGTCCAGTTTAACTTCTTTTAAATAGATTTTTATATTCGAATTGTAAATAAAATTTAATGTTTTTAATTTGATTTTCTTAAACAAAACTCATTATGATTATTGAATGTCGTTAGAATGCTTGGATATAATTATAAGTTATTGGATAAACTTTATTTGTTGAAATTATCCACCTTCAACAGGTGGTTGAGAACTTGAGAAATTTATAAATTTTAGAAAGATAAGTTTTTGTCCTTTTTGTGTTGGGCATTGGTGGGTATAAGCATGGTTGTTCATGGAAATTGGGATCTCAATTAATTAATCCGAATAAATAAATAAACGTGACAAGTATAGGATTAAGCGATAATAGGGGTATGTAGGAATTATGATACGAATATTGTATTAATCGCATATAAAGTGCTATTACAGAGGTACGAGACGTGTAATAACAAGACAAGTGTGTAGTTAGGACACAAGATGTCTAAACAAGACACAAATGAGGGTTTTTATACTCCATGTCGCCCCAACAATCCCGGAGAGAAAGGTGGGAGGTCCTCTCAACCGCCTTGGACCGCAACCGGTGCTGCAAGACTCAGACAACACGAGGACCCCGTCCCTTGGCCGAGCCTGGAGCTCAGCCAAGCGAGGACCATGAGGTGGCCGACCTCACACTAGCAAAGCCCGGCGTGGATGACCCCGACATGGATGACCCTAGTATGGATGACTCCAGCGTGGATGATCCCGGTGTGGATGACCTCGGTGAGGATGACCCCGGCGTGAATAATCCCGGCTGAGCTCTGCCTTGACCGACCTCGACCTAGGTCCGAGTCTGGTGCTTCAGGTTTGGTCGCTCTATATCATTTCGATCCGGGTTCGCTTGTAATTATTCCATCACTTGTAAATCCATATTTGATTTTCTCTTCATTGTTCGAATTATTGTCAAATATTATGTAGGGACAGAGAGTAGGAAAATATGGCAATTTGACAATAAATTTATATCCATATAAAAAGTAAAATATTGTGGTGAAAATGATAGTCTTAACTTTGATGTGGCAATGATGACTACAACTTGTTTATACTCCTATTTGATTCCATCCAATATTGACTAATTCAATTTATGCTCACTAATTATGTACATTATATATCAATTGCTGGCCTGCTGCGAATGCAAGATATACCATGATTCATGGTATAATTTGCTAATTAAATGTATTTATTTATGATTAACACTCAATTTTATTGTCAATTACTATATAGTGTGATGACATCTCTGTTACCATTTCAAATAGTGGTCACAGGACTCAGTGATGGGAGCATTAATTATTTGATACTTAAATTTAGTACAGGGTATTAACTATACTAAAAGTAATAAATTCATGTGTTTTGAATACCGATTTTAAAGATACTATTACTATTAACACAACTTAAATCGATTTAATTATCAAAAATATACAACACCACCATAGTTGAGTTGAATAGTGGCGATACACATTGATTATTGATAGGATGAAGCATCTATATATTTTAATTATTGACTAAATGGGGGATTTAATGGTCCAAATCTCTGCATTTTTAACTCTGGAAACACTCTCCAACACTTGAAAAGGAACAATGTCTCCCATAACCATCACCATCTTGGTTTCCAAGTCCACTTCATAAGAAGTAACCCCTGATAGCATTAAAAAAAAAAAAAAGTCCATAAAATTAAGTGTGTGTGTATATATATATTTAGGGGCATATATATCAGTTGAAGCACATTTAGGGCATATATATATATATTAGTTGAAGCACATTCTACGATTTATCTCATCTACCAATTTTCAAGATATAAGTGGTGATGGACCCTTAAGGTTGTGTTTTTTTTTTTTAGTAACGATGAGAACCCGCAACCACTATGTGAGAGTGTGCATTGAATACCCTCGCCGGTTCAAATCAAGAAGGCTAATAGGTCATTCCCAATAATAAGTCATTGTTCAAGCTTATTTTAAAAAAATGTAACACTTGTAGCTATTGTTCCAATGACATTAGTCATAGTATTTATCATGGTTGTAAAATGTGGCCTAGGCCGCAGCGTTTTTGCCCTTAGGCGCCTCCTAGTCGGCCGACTCGGAGCCAAATCGCCGAGTTATTATTATTTTTAATTTTTTTTTTTTTTACAATTCTAGTATAGAACCATGTGTAATAATTTTTTTTTTATTTGTGAGTGTGTGTGTGTGTGTATATATATATATATATATATATATATATATATATATATATATATATATATATATAAAATACACACGCAACCTTATATTTTTTTTGTGTCTTCTGCCTAGGCGCTAGGCGGGCCTGGCGTATTTGCACAACCTTGATATTTTATTGGTAGGATGGGTTGCATATAGTCAGTATATGCATCAATTGAAGTTTTAGCCTCAATTTTATACATTTGAACCACAAAAATGAATAGGTTGCATTTATAAATATTTACTAGTCTTTGTACACTAAGTGTCCAATGCATTTACCCAATATTCAAATTATGATTATATTTGAATAAATTTTTAAAAAAGTCAATAAATAGATCAGAGACTACAAGTTGTAGAATTCATATTATATTGAAATAAGTAATTATTATCATAATATTTATATTGAGAAAATTGATAATTAAATAATTTTGACTTACATGTAATGTACAAAGTTATAAAGACAATTTGTGCATTTTTTAAAGTTAATTTATGATCTTTACACTATAAATGGTAATTATAATAGTGCATTATAATTTTTATTTATTTAATCATCAATATTAGAATTTATTAAATAGTCACGAAGTTATAACCGTATAAAGGTAGTTGTGTACAACAAAAATGCTACAATATATACATTTATTAGGGGGAAAAAAAAAAGAAACAAAAATCAATGACAAAATGGATTGACACATATATTTTGTTTTTAGATTTAGATATAGTTCAAGTAATAGAAGTTCCGGGTGACACCAAGATTCTAACTCATGATCTTTGGGAGTTGGGTCTAATATCAAATTGAAGCATGTATTTTCTTAACTAAAAATCTAAATTAATAATTTGATTGCATATTTATGTTGATATATTATATGTTCAACACAAGTAACTTCTACAAAAATATTCGTTACTAAGTATAAAGATTACAATTTTTTATTAAATGCATCAAATTCAAGGCTTCACTTATGGACTAGGTGATTGTAATTTATCCACACCGGTTATAGTCACCTAAATAATGAGCATTCTATCATATAATTTAATTTGCAAGAGAGTTATTAATCTAGTAGTCATATATATACCTTCCATTTTTGAGATATGTTTCTTAACCTTTCTTGCGCAACCATTGCAATGCATGGACACCCTCAGCACTACCACCTACATAACAACAAGATGAGAAAATCGCATCGTTAGTCGCTCAATTATTGTGGCATAATCATAATTTAATCATCAATTTTAATATAACATTATAACTATATTTAAACTCATTAATTTGTTAGCATTGTCACATTTAATCCTCTGTTACAATTCTAATACAATCAATTTTTAATTTTGGGACTACATTAAATTTTCTCAAACAAGAAGCTCAGTAACGTGGGACAACCCTAGCCAAATTGATCATACTGTTGACTTGATAACCAAAGGTTACAAGTTCAACTCCCAGTCACTAATGAGCGATAAACTCTGTATTATGATACAGAGTAATACAGAAAAAAATAATAATAATACTCATTTACATATTAACATACACCATACCTTAGGCTTGAGGTGCAGAGCAAGAGTTGCAGGTCCTGCAATAGCATCACTTTGAGATTGAATGATGAGAGGCCTTTTCTCCAAGTCATCATCTTCTTCAGCTCCAAAGCCATTGATGCAGAAACATGATTTTGGTCCAGAAGAAAAACTAAAACAATCCAGCACCTTCCCAAAGATGAGCTTCCTCATTCGATCTACCCAGATTTAAAACCTCTGATTGATGTATATATGTAGCTCAAGCTAGCTAGCTAGAAGATCAAATGTATGTATATATGTATCCTCATGAAGAAGGAATTCAAGAAAGATCAGACACAGAAGAAGCCTAGCTAGCTACTGAGAAATGACAAGGTAGAGGTCAAGGTTAATATAATATAATGTATTTCATTGGAAAAGGCATAGATTAATAATACGCACCCATTTCTCTAGGAAAAGGATAAACTAGATTTTGTCATGTGATGATAGTGAGGAGAAAAAAAAAGGTTGAGCATTTGTGCTTTATTTTAGCTGTGATGTGAGAATTGCGCACATTAGCTAGGGGTTATAAAAGCATATGTAGCTAGGGACTAGTTGATATATAGGACATGGTAAATCACTATTAGCTGATTGTGTTAGAGGTTATGACTAGTTGATAACATTAGTTGATTGTAGAAAGATGTTTGGTAAATTAGCTGTTAGCTTATAGTTGTTTGGTATAAATTTCTTAATTTTATCAAAAAATTAATTGAAAAAATTGCTTTGAGCAGCTTTTTAAATTTTAGCATTTTGAAATTACAAAAACCTGATTTACTAAACACTTATATTGATTTTTTTTAACCAAGTCAAACAACTAATAGTGGTCAAATAAGCCAAAATTAGCTGATAAGCTAACTATTTTACCAAACAAGGTCATACTATATGATATATACATATATAGTAAGAGATATATAACACATTCCAAATAAGATGTTAGGGCAACCCTAATCAAGTTGATCATAATCACAAGGTACCAGGTACTTTAAACTACTTGTGTGGACTAGATTCAGTTAAAAGTGTCTTTGAAAGCTAGGTAAGGGTGAACCAATATATACTTATGTTCCTCCATTTATCTCTAGGATGACTTGAAATCATGCATATATAACAGGACAATTAATAAGTTAGGAATGCTTATTAATGAACCAATATAATACCTCAACTTTGATGAAGAATATATAGCTTTCGACATCATATCTTTGGAGTGACTTCATGTGAAGTAGATGGTTATTGAAGTGGTACATGTGAACACCTGCTTCATGTGATGTGATCATAGAAGAAGTGAAAAGCAGACACAAATTAAACACTTATGGAACAACACATAATCAGTTGTTCACCCACCAGCTCATATCATGTGATAGTGTTATCCTCCTAAAGACTCAAGTTATTAATGGAGAGCTGAACATTTGTCATATCACATTTATTAACCCAAATTTTTAAGTTTTCAACTATTTACTCATTCACCAAAACTTACTCAAATTTTCAATTTATTTCGCAATTTATGTCTTCTAACAAAAATTTAGGGCAAATTTAGGGCAAAAATAGGTGAGGCTTCTCGAAATTTTCTTTTGTTGAAAGGCTAAAGAGTCAATGAACTTTTGTAAAATGATGAGGAAAATCCGTAGTCACTACTTGAGGATGTGCACGAAATAAATTATGTCTTGTGAGTTGTGACCTAGGCGACAAAGGACTATAAGGAGGTAAACCAGCATAGCCTCAAACCAAGAATGCCAATAGACCATGCCCGCATGGGTAGCTCAACTGGTCATAGAGGTGAAATTTTGGAAGAATGACCAGAGATCGAGTCTCACCGGCAGTGCGGGAGCAACCTCTCAAAGTGAGCACCGGTCTAGCCTTTATGGTTCATGTTCAATTGAGTCACCATGATTTACGTCTTCCCAAATGCTCTGTCGGGCCGGGGTGCTAGATAAGTATTTCATTAGATTTATTATTATTATTATTATTTGCCACATAAGAGGGAGAGGGGAATAAAAAAAATAAAAATAAATAAAAAAAAAAAGGAATAAGGTTCAAATTGGCCACTGAACGTAACCTGAAAATGCAATTAGGCCACTGAACGAAAAAAAAAGTGCAATTAGGCCACTGAACACTCCAAAAATGTGCAATTTCACCTGATAGCAGGTTACCCTCAATTTTAGCAGGTTATCTGCTTACGTGGCAGCTGAGTTGGCATTTTTAATAAATTTTAATTAATTTTTAATAAATTTTAATAATAACTTTTTATTAAAAAAATTTTTAAAAAAATAAAAACGACTTTATTATTTTTTTATTTAATTTTTTTCCAATTTTTTATAAAATTTATTATTAAAATTAATTATTAAAAATTATTTAAAAATTATTAAAAATGCCAACTAAGTTGCCACGTAAGCAGGTAACCTGCTAAAATTGATGGTAACCTGCTATCCGGTAAAATTGCATACGTTTGGAGAGTTCAGTGGCCTAATTGCACATTTTTTTAGTGTTCAATGGCCTAATTGCACTTTTTTTTCGTTCAGTGGCCTAATTGCATTTTCAGGTTACGTTCAGTGACCAATTTGAACCTTATTCCTAAAAAAAATAAACAAAGAGGGAAAAAAAGAGATGATTATTAATGCACCAAGGTGGCGCGTGTAGTGCATGTGTGCCTAACGCACACCCAAAGTAAAATTCTTTATTTACTTTTTCACAGACCCTACAAAAAATCAAATTATTGTAAATACATTTTCATCTCTATCCTCTTCCCTCCGCATTATCTCATCTCTCTTCCATTTAAGAAAAAAATCAAGAAAAATGCATTAAAGGACTTACTCTTATAATCGTGTTGATACCTAGCCAAGAGCTTGATAACTTGATTGGGTTACCCAAAGTCAATGAACTTGAAATCTTTTGTCTTTTTGTTGTGTATAGTAATTATTAGTATACTGCGAAGAAGGGGGATGGGAGTTCAATTATTGGATGGGTTGGTAGTATTTCTACAAGAGTAAGTACTCTACTTCAGTCTCCATACTCTGCATGATAGAGCCATGGCTCCATTATTGGATGGTTGATTTATTAATATTTTATATTTTGCAATTTGTTTTTAATGTGAATAACAGGTTGGTCCATGTGATGATGGAACTCATGGAAGGAGAGGCCGAGAGAAGATTGGGTAACAGGTTACAGGGAGATCATGTTATGCACGCCTGTCTCACATGACCCCTGCTGCTTATAATATGCTTAGCTACCAACCAAAAAAGTTGGGTTGTAAATATGGGTTACTTTATGGTGGTTGTCCCCTTAGGATTGACACATTTCAAAATAACTATTCTTCTTCCAAAGGTTGAATCCACTTCAAATATTGGTATCTTCTCTCAAATATTATCTACTGAACTAGTGAATTAAACTCGTGCGGACAATTAAAGTAACTATGACAACGTAACTATGACAACATGATTAGCTGTTGTTGCTGGGGTGTCAGGAGTCCTTGCAATTTGATCCATTTGTGCAGATACTAGGTGGAAGATGTCGACCATCTAAGGGGACAGAGAACTAACCGAGTTTGAAGAATCTTTGGAGACTGTCAAAGATACCCTTCGCCCAAAAGAGGTTTCTACAATCCAGAGAAAAGATTAGTCGTGAAAACCCTAGGTATACCCAAAAAAAAAAAAATAAAGATACCCTTTACAATGACATGTTGGGAGAGGTGAGAACGCGAAAAATCTTTGTGCACAGTCGCTAGGGTTGCCTAGAGGCTAGAGTACCCCCCCTCCCCGTGGTCCTCCCCCCCCCCCCCCCCCCCCCAAACCCAAAAATAAGGAGAGTTTATTGAGTTTGTTAGCGTTGGAAATTTTAGTAAAAAACTCATCTTTTGGTACAAAGAGTATAAATGTTTCATCCTTAGTTCCAAAAGAGGAAAACAGAGCATGTTCTTAATGGGTAGCTTTGTTTAATGTAGGAAATGGCATCTTTCTGGTATTTAGTTGGCAACCAGTTGTATAGCATATTAGCATTCAACCTCAATGATTCACTGTAAGAATTCCATAATTGCCATTAATTTCTTCTTTTACTGTAGAGCAGTCAAAAAACTGGTTACCACAGAAGGGGATAAAATCTCCAGTGTGAAAGGCAGTAAAGAACATCATGATAATTGAACTAAAAATTCACAGGAACCTCTTCCACCTTTTAAAGTTAAACCACACAACATATCATCTGTCTGAAAGACAAAAAAGAATCTCATCCATATATAAAATATTGAGGAAATCACATTGCAGGGTAAACAGTATATAGCCATTGTTGCAGGGTTTAGAGCCTTCAACACTTCACAAGCATCTGAACAGGCTTCATAGCAGCTTTTTGGAACAGAGTGCTTTGGTCCCTTAGTGTGAATGTGAAACCGATTAATCGTAGCCAACATCTACTCCTTTTTTCATCTAGCTTCAAAATTGTCCTACCAAAGAAGACAGCTAATCAAAATCAGAATTCAGAAATCCACCTTTCCTTCAACCTTGTTTTATCTGCCAAGGGAAAATGTTTTGCATAGTCTAGGGCACGGGGCACCCCACGAACACTATATTATATCAACTAGCAATACAATGTGTGTGTGTTTATATACCTGTTGTAAGAGAAAATCGTCTATGGGACAGGCCAGAAATTTCATGAGATCAAGACCAACCATCAATAGGCAATACCAACCTGGAGGGTGTGGTTGAGTGGAAGGGACTCGTTCATCCTTAACCAAAAGTCAAGAGTTCGATCCTTAGCTTTGGGAGTGGAACAACCTTAAATCTCCAGGCCAGTTGTCCCACCCAAAAGTGGGTGCCTACAATTCAGCAAGGGGATTAGTCACTGTGTCCGACGGTGGAAACCAAAGGTATACCCAAAACAAATCAATAGGCAATACCGCAATAGCACCCAAGAGACACAAAGGAGTACAGGCTGTAACCGGCCAAGTGTAGCTTTCTGGAAGAACTGAGGGTTGCATCGGGAGAATCCAAAAAGCAGATACAGCCATTAGTAATGTCATAATCTTCACAATTAGTTTCAATGAACCAGTCAAAAAGGGTAGCTTGATTGTTTACACTATAAGCAAGAAATAATGATAATAATAATAGAGCAATAGCTATGTGGCAATGAGAGCAATTGTTTCAATGATATTAATTAATTATTACAAAGTGGTTTTCATTTTAAATTCAGGCCATGTGAGAACATAATTGCTTACAAGTTACAATACTTTAAAGAAAACATCTTGCACCAAGTCTACCTTAGCTCCAAGTCTGTATTAATACTTCTGTGCTTATGGTTAGAGAAAGTTGAGATAATAGATTAGACAATCCACTTTTTAAATGCTCGGCAAATATTCTAAATATATGGTACCAAATTTTACAAACAAATTTTAGTTTATTTACGCCAATAATCTATCTATATTTAACTTGGCCAGATCCCCAATGAAAAACAGGCTACAAATTCACTGCAGCAGGCATCCATCAGTAGTATGAAGTACTCTTACACAACTATACTATTCAGCTCATGAACAAGCTTGTCTTTGTAGCTTAGTGGCTGAATCTAGAGTGTACAAAAACACACACACACACATGATTATGAATATGTGATTCTTCAATGGATACCTATAGCTTAGAGCTCTGAGGGCTGATTGTGAGAAGCTCAAAGAGATGGGAGAAAATCTTGCTATTTCCAGCTTTACTTCTTTGAGCCCTATTATTAAGCAGGGCAAGAATGCTTACAACATTATGACCTAGAAAAACAAAATTGTGATTTACTCATTTGTTTCCTTTAGCATGTGAACTGAAAATTTAAAGAGATCAGCAAAATGGAAAGCTGTATTCTGAAGAGTGATACAACAGTAAGCTGGAAGGCAAAATGAAAATGCTGCCATCAGATGGGAGATAGGAAAATATGATTTCACAGATCCACCCAACATCTAAAGAGCGGAGCTCAAAGCCCTTGCGCAATATCCCGAACATCATATGGCAGTAGAAACTATAATATTGAGTTCAAAAAAGAATGGCAATGGCAATGGCAATGCATACTGCAATAAGCCCATATAGAAATCTCCATGGCAGATAAGATCGTTGCTTGTACAACAAAACACTTATCTTGGATCAAAATATTAGAAACCCAAATTCGAAAAATCCAATCTTGACGAAATTAAATTGTAACATCACAAGCATTTATCAATAATAGCTCAAAAAAACAAATTGAAATATAGAGGAACAATGAAATAGCTGTGCGAAACATCAAACTCGCAAGAACCAGAGAGCCGCCGTCGAAACTGAAGCGATTAGATGAAAGCAAACTGAACTAGGGTTTTGGGAATTGGAAGCTAACTCTGAAATAGATGCGGATCAGCCGGGTCGTGGATCGGGCGGTCCAGTTTGCAATATTGTAGATCTGTACCGGGATAGTTATGTTGTGCATCCGTATGCACCATGCATGGTGCATACGAATGCAAAAACGACGTCGTTTTATTAAAAACGCGTGTCTTCCCTTAAAAAAAAAATTCAGGTTTAATTTTCAGCAATAACATTATGTTGTTCATTCATTCTGGAATTTTAGTTCATAGATTATGGAATTTTAGTTCATTGATTCTGGAATTATAGTTCATCGATTCTGGAATTGTAGTTCATCGATTTTGAAATTTTAGTTCATAGATTCTGGAATTTTAGTTCATTCATTTTGAAATTTTTAGTTCATAGATTAGATTATGGAATTATAGTTCATCGATTATGGAATTTTAATTCATATGTTGTGGCTGGGAATCGAACTTGAATTTTTTTTTAAGGGGAGACGCGCGTTTTTAATAAAACGACGTCGTTTTTACATCCGTATGCACTATGCATGGTGCATACGGATGCATAGCATAATTTTGCCTCTGTACCGGTAGGAGAGGGCAAATTATTATGTGGACCCGAGTTTACCTTGTAAGATAGATTTAGGTCTAAAAATACGCAATTTATCTATTAAATTCACAATTTATCTTTTACAATTTTATTATTTGTTAAAAAAATTATAATTTGTTTCTCAAAAAAAAATTACAATTTGTAATGATTTTATATTGCATTCACACATTTTCAAGACTTAAAAACACAATTTATATTTTAGATGTTCATAATTCTAATATTAAAAATTTACAATTTAGGACTAGGAAGGTGGACCTTGTCCATGGTATAACAATTGGTAGGAGTGAGTATGGATCCAATTTGCATTTAGGAATGTAGCATTCCAAAAGTCTTTTATATCAAATCTACTATCAAAATGAGATTAACTAGATTCTACTAAGAACTATGCTTTATGGGAGAATAATAAAATTACATTGCATGACAATTTATAAGTGCAATCATGAATATGTAAATGTGCACTAGAAAATGAGATTTTTCAAATGCACCATGCAAGGACGAAGCCAGGAATTATGTTGAGGGGGGCAAAGAAGTAGGGACAGATTCAGAATTTTTTTCAGTGAAGGCGAAACGTTAAAACAAAAGAGATAATTTGAAAAAATAAATATCTAAGAAATATAGGTATAAATATTGTTGGTTATAAGCAAAAAAATAAAACCCATCAAAACTTTATAAAAATATTCATAACAAAATATGAAACATAATTAATTTGATAAAATAATTTGAACAAAAAACACATTATAAATTACACATCTCATTATTAATATAAAAGAATGTTATATGTGTGTTTGTATATTAAATATTAAAAAAAAAAAAAAAAAAAAACTATTAAGAACTTGATTGTGTTGAAGCCAAAAAAAAGTATGAAAATGTGTTGATGCCAAGATTTGAACCTACAACCTTCATTATAACCAAACACATACTTTACCAACTAATCTAACTCACTTCTTATTAATATTCATCTGTTTGTTATACTAATATTAAAACTTGTACTATATATACATTTATACATATAAAGGTTATATATGGGGTGGGGTGGGGTGAGGGGGACAGCTCCGTCCTTGGCACCATGCAATAGTTGTTACGTAATAGTACATTGCACGGTAAATTATCACTAATTGCACGATTAGTTGTTAAATTATACACTTTAAATTTTGAATATTCATCAAAATGTCACTACATATATTTCTTATTGTATAACCCTTTGATCAACACAAATCAATAGTCAAATTTAGTTCAATTTCACTTTCATCAACTTCACGCTCCCACCCTACAATTTTATATATGTGTAGTGTACAATTTTAAGATAGGAAAATCATTTGTATATATGCAAGCTGTCAATAGGGTTATAGCATGACATATCACATATGAAAATGATTGCAATTTTTTGGAACGAAAACCCATTATTATTGAATTGAAAGATGTTGCAATATATAATGTGTAATTTAATTTTGTACAATATTATAAATATCCTGTTTGGTAAAAAATTGACCTATAGGTCAATTTTGGCTTATTTGACTACTATTAATTATTTGATTTAGTTAAAATATCAATATAAATGTTTGGTTAATTAGCTTTTTGCAACTCAAAAAGGTTAAAATTCAAAAAGCTACTGTAAGCAACTTTTTCAATTAGCTTTTTGAGAAAAGAAATTATATAAAACAACTATCAGCTAATTTACCAAACACTTTTCTACCATCAGCTAATGTTATCAACTATTTATACCCTCTAATTAATATAATCAGCTAACAGCTAACGGTCTTTTTACCAAACAGTGCCAAAGAATTTTTAACGATATTCATTATGCAAAATAAGTCATTCAACTTAGAAATATTTGATTAATAGAATCAATTTTTAGTAGTGTACGAGGACATGCATCATATCTCACCCTACAAGTGCAACAAATCAAACATTTATCGTCCCTTTGCTTCAAATTAAAGTTTGATATTTGTATAAAAAATGATTAAGTAAGTGAATCATGATTATCGTATCATTTTTATTAAGAATGTTTGAAAATTAAAAAAATAACTTTTTGAAAATAGGTCATTTTTATACCGCATTTTCCTTGCCAATGTTTTGTTGCATTTTAGAAAATTGTCTTTGCGTGTTTGGTTCATTTTTCAAAAAATAAGTAAAATTGTATTAAAAAAAATCAGTGTTATTTATATAAAAAATAATAATAAAATTAACAATGGTTTCATATTTAAAAAAAAAAAAAAAAAAACTGGTTTTCGAAGCTGGAAACCAAATTAATATGGTTTCCAGCTTCGGAAACCAGTTAATATGGTATTATTTTTGTCGAAAATCAGTATAGAGTTTCAGCCGAAAATCGTCACAACGTCACCGAAGGAGATGAAGAATGTTGCGCATGTTAAACTCTGAAAAATGACTTCTTCAAAAAATTATTGATTTTTCCTTTAACTAGAAATCAATTTTAATTGAGTATAACTTTTTTCCCTTAGAGCATCTCCAAAGTAGCGCTATCCCCGCAAAACTCAACTCCAAAACGGCAAAAATTAAAAATTTCTCACTCCAAGGTACGTTGTCATTCCGCCATAACGCCAAATTAATTGGCGTTAATGAACAGTGTCGCGCCATATTTGGCGTGGCACTGTTCATCCGCGGCAATTGAGAAATAGGAAATAATGTTACCCTTTTGCCTTTACATTTTTTTATAATTCCATATGTATCCTTTATTTGTTTTATATGTAATTTTTTGTTTTGTTAAATACTTATATTTAAAGTTTGTATTATTATATATAAATTATACCATTTGAAAGATCTCATTGAGACGATCGAAACAAGACTAATATTGAATATATATTAATTAAAATTTCAAATACATTAAACATAACTAGAACAGAATAAAAGATAAAATACATACGACATACATCAAACATGACTAGAATATAATAAAAATTAAAATACGTACGACATAATAATAATATTAGAAAATACAACACAATTTTGAAAAAGTTTGTTAAAATTAATAATTTCCTAATCCACTCCCACTTCCTCCCAAATTTTCAAAGTATTTATCAAATTCACGATTTGATTCAACTCCTCCTCCTTGCTCTTGATTTCTCTCTGCAACAATTTGTAGTTGTTGGCGTCTAATCGACTCACGCACAGCTGGATCGTCTATCAAATTTAAATTCATTCTTAAGATTTTGTTATCTTCTTTTCGTTTTGCCAATGCCATTTTTTCTTTTCCCAATGTTATTTTGTTCGTTACATTTTGAGCTTTAAGCAAATCAATCTCATATTGTTTTTGGAGTAGCTCATGATTGTTTTCGAACATTCCTTTGAATTGTGCAGTTTGTTGTTCCATTGCGGCAATAAATTGATTGCGCTCATCCGAGAGTTTATGCTTCATCTTTTCCTTCTTCCTTCCCGTAGGACGTTCACCTACATTGTTCATTTCATTACAATGTTCGTCAGTTTCAAAATCATCATTCAAATCAACAGCAAATGAGGAAGAGCCTATTGACTTCTCGGTTCCAAAAGATTGTGATTGTGATCCTTCAAAAGTTCTTTTTCGACCCCCATCATTTAGCAAGTTTCCCGTTCTGCAAAATTTCTGCATGTCTTTGACAATCGGCCATACATGATCAAACTTAAATCCACCTTTGAATTTGGGATCTTGCTTTACTAACTCATTTGCTCTATTAAGCTGTTATAAATAAAAATATAATTCCAATTAAACAACGCAATTAAAACAAAAATAAGAGAAAACTAAATAACACAAATTTACAAGATACTCACAATATCTTGTTCTGATGCACCACTTGGGTTCATGTTCTCTATTTGTTGAATGCACCCTCTTAGTTTGCTAATCGTTGTTGATATATTTGCCCAACGACTATTCAACGATCTTGAAATTCGATCGGTACAAATGTGTGCCGGTAGCATTTGTTTATATTCTTGTGCAATGTGTTCCCATAAATCTAATGCAGGGCGATCATTGCCCTTTTCAGGATCTTGGGCAATATCCATAAATATAGTACAAAGGAGTATATCTTCTTCATTTGAGTATGAAGAAGTTCGGATTGAACGTGAGGGTTTTGACATTTTCAATGACTGTTAAACTAGAAAGAAATGTAAAGAGATATTGATATTCAAAAGATAGGTAGTATTACTTCTAAATCAAATTGTAGTATTTATAGAGATACAAGCATACCAATGAACGGATGTGATCTTCGCGATCTAATCTAACGGTTCTAAACATTTCAGATAAAAGCTGATTCAAAGATGCATGTGATCTCTTTTATTGGAGTATGTGTGGAAAAGGACAAGCATACCAATGAACGGATGTGATCTTCACGATCTAATCTAACGGTTCTAAACATTTCAGATAAAAGATGATTCAAAGATACATGTGATCTCTTTTATTGGAGTATGTGTGAAAAAGGACAAGCATACCAATGAA